TTGATGGTGGGGTGAGATTTGGTCATAAACAACATTTCTTGTCAACTTCCCAGAGGGAAAAATTGATTCAGAGATCATGACAGTGGAAAGCAATTGTATGTGTGAATTTGTTGTCACTAACACTACCGTAATTTTCTGACTATAAGGCGCACCTGAATATAAGCCGCAGCAGCTAAATTGAATGATGTGTACATATTAGGGATGCACCGAATATTCGGCCGCCGAAAATTATCGGCCGAAAATGGTTAAAAAGGCTCTTTCGGCTTTCGGCCGAAAGGGTTTTAGCACCGAAAAAATATCACCGAATGTCAGGGAACAGGGTTACGTTGGTAAGCTAACGTGTTGTTGTGATGACGTAATCAAAACGCGGCGACAAGCACGGCGCGCGACCATGCTCGCGGCTGGCTCACAGCCAACATGTCTGCGCTTGGAGATATTTAAAAATATCAGAGAAAGAGGCGCGGATTGCGATTTTAAAACGTGTTCAGCTGACATTTCTCGAGGGGGTGTAACTGCAAAGACTTTCACCACTTCGGGATTACTCCACCACTTGAAATCAAAACACCCGGACAAATATGCGGAGTAAGATCAAATCACAAGCACTGACAGCGAGAGACTTTCAGCGCTGCCTCTCATGTGCTTGATGAGAAGAGGAACAGACTTATGGCTGATAAAGCAGAGAAGCTATGTTCATTAAAAAGAACCTCCCACTTTTCCTTAATAAGTAGACAAGGCTGGCTTATCATAAGCTTATCTAGTTCTACATGTCTACTCTATACCCACTTTCCTGAACAATTTTCATTGTGAGTTATAATTCACCATCTCAGGTTATCATTAGGGGGAAATGACAGCAGCACAGTGTTCAATATATTGTACTTTCGGTATCTAAATGATACAATGTTGTTTACATTGCTCATGAGGACAGACCACCTTATTTGCAGATTCTTGAAATTGTAATTTAATTTGTAATTGATTGTGGATTTTGTATCCAGTTTTCACTTTATGTATCTTTATACAATGTTTACTACTTTTCTTATGAGGACAGACAGCCTTATTTACAGATTCTTGAAATGTAATTGTAATTTCATTTGTAAATAGTTACATTCATGTGGATTTATCCAGTTTGCACATTTGTATGCATGCACTTATAGGTGCATTTGTTGTTGTTGAAGACCTGGCTGTTACAGTATTTATTTACACTATTTTGTTGTAGGCCTACTGGCCTAGATGTTTATGCAGTTTTAAAGCACCTTGGCTTTGTTCTGAATGCACTTTGTTGTAGTTATCCTACAGAGAAAATAAAATGCACTTGACTTGGAATTAATGTAATGTATGCATTCAAAAGTGCTGAATAAATGTTTTATGGACCCATAATAGTGATTATTATTTAAGTTAAGTTTTGCCATAATCATGTCTTTTTCCATAATCAGGCAGCTGAACAACATTGGTAAAAAATGTATACATTATATATATATATATATTCTATTAATCATTTTCGGCCTTTCGGCATTCGGTTTTCGGCCAACTGTTTCCTATTTTTGGTATCGGTTTCGGCCAGGAATTTCCCATTCGGTGCACCCCTACAATTAATGTCTTGTGGCGAAATAGAAGTATTAAGTGTCAGGAAATGGAACAACTCAAGTAAAGTATCTGAAAATTGTATTTCAGTACTTAAGTTAACGACTTAGTTACTGTTCACCAATAGTTAAAAGTGTATAAAGTGTGTTGGAGCAGCAGGACAGTAGTGGACTGAGAAAGGTCATAAAGTCCTGAGTTCTCTGCAGCTAAAGTTCCGCCTCCCTGTGAAGGAGAAAGGTGATGATCTGTGATAAGTGTGAAACTGAAGGTCTCTTATACCTACCCAATCTACCTTTGGCTCTTCCCGAGTCTCTGAGAAATTCTCCACTCAGCCATTTCTGCCCTGCTGCTCTCACTAAATCAATACCACAGATTGGCTTTGCTCTCTGACATGGGAGACCTGATGGAGGCTAAGAGAGATGTATATCTGTCGCTATTGGTTAATATCACCAGTCAACATTATGCAGGGTTCAGTAGTCCTTATGTTGAGGACAGAGAAGGAGGAGAAGTGCTGCTGGAACATGATCATTTATTGGCTTAACTGCTGGAATTCATCCAACTTCTGCTAATTTGATTGTGTAATGTCTATTCAGATCCAGCCAGTCTCGGACAATTGACAGTATATGAGAATATATTGGAGGGATAATTCTCTTTTGGCGGAATGAAGACGGATTAGTCTTTCAACTGTTTCTGCATACTCATTACCAAGACTCTGAAAAACCAGCTCAAGTGGGTTTTTTTTATATTTTTGGTTTGTAACCAATTAAAATAGTCTGTTTTCTTAGTTGATATGACCTCAAATCCTCTGAGTTGGAGCAACTACTATAAATAATGAATTTCCTGCTTAACAATTGGTTTAATGACCCATTCATTTATGGAATTATAGGCAACAACTGTGAAAATGTAAAGATCATTTAAGAACTGTCTATCATTTTAGAAAATCGTGTTATTGTAAATCTCCTCTTTTACTGTAAATTGTTTTTGTATTTATTTAATTATAATTATTTTGGGTCCTCGCGATTTGTAATATCAGTAATTGTATCTGTTTAGATTTACTATATATTTTTCATTACTATTTGTATTACAAGTGGTATCTATTGTTCCCATAAATGTGGATATGTATAGTGCAGAAACACCGATCCAAATGTAAACCTTTGTGGAGGATTGTGATCATAAACACCATCCTACAAATATTCTAAAGACTGATCCCATTACCTAGAATCTTGTTTATATCATACTGTAGGGTTGTGGAGTTTGTTTTCTGAACTAAGGATGCCTCTGATGCAGTTCGATGTCAGAATAATTCATTTATTTGTACACAATGTAATGTATGTGAAAATCTGTATTTGATTTGTGTAGGTGTCAATGTTTTATTCCTTTTCATCTTTGCTCTTCCCTTTTGGGATTGTGTTTTGTTTACATGAGATGTTAGTGCTATTCCTACATCATACAATAAGCAATGGCATCCTTTTCTTCCCAAAGGACAAGGATGTTCAAAGAAACACAAGTCCAGATTGAATTCTACTCACCCTTTCCCTCAGGAAACAGTCACCAATTAGTGCTTTTTTCTACTTATATCCACGGTCGTTGTTCTTTCAAGTGTGTTCTTACGTGAACTAAAGGTTATGTTCAAAGATAGGGTTGGGGAGAGTTGTATAGATAATTAATACATCAAATCTAATTGCAATGATGTCATCGGTATTGGCAGGAGGTTGGTCAAAACAAAGATAGACATTGCAAAAATTAATAAGAAATGTTCCTAATCCTGACAAATAATACATCATATATTGCAAAATATGATGAAATGTTTAATATCCCAATAATATTGTTATTAGAGAAGTATTGCATCGTAAAATATCGTAAAATATCGTATTGTGTGGCTTATTTCAAAGATTGCACCAATGTTGTTCTTATGGCGTTTGCCCTTTATTTTTCCTCCCTTTCTTTATTTGCTAATATAAATCCACCTCTCTCCTTTTTCCATGTATCTTTTCAGGAGCACTTCACTCCTGAGTGCAAGTTCAAGGAGAGTGTGTTCGAGAACTACTACGTCACATACTCCTCCATGCTCTATCGCCAAACCCAGTCTGGCCGCTCCTGGTATATCGGTATCAACCGCGACGGACAGGTCATGAAGGGCAACCGGGTGAAGAAGAACAAAGGAGCTGCGCACTTCCTGCCAAAAGTTATAGAGGGTTTGTGTCCTTTGTGTCACTTCAGCACAATTCAAACCAGTTCCTCACTTATTAATCACCTCCTTTATTATTAACCGACAGATTCTATCTTTGTCTCACAGTTGCGATGTATAAGGAGCCATCGCTACACCAGCTCGCCCCTGAACCGGTGAGTCCTCCGCGGAAGACAGTGAAGACGTCAGATTTGCCGTCCCTGAAGAATGGACGGAAAGAAGCTCCCAAGGCTGATGCTTCATAGCACAGGAGACTGAGGGTGGGACAAAGAGCAGCAGTGACACTGGGAATACAGCCGCCCATTATGCACTGAGGGTGGGTGGGGTAATGGCCCCCAAGGGCCACCTTATTCCAGAAGTGAGCAACGAGATTCAGAAAGATAACAGGTCAGCGGTCCATCAGCAGCCGAGAACACCTGAGAGAGGAGTCCCCCCCTCACCTGTCACCGCAGAAAGGAAGCCAAGGGCCTGAGCCAGAACTACTACCACCTGCCCCTCCCACTGTTTGTCTCTTTCTCCACCTCAGTGACTTCCTAATGCACAGTCTCCTTCATTTCTCTGTCATGCTCGGGCTTCTTTGTCCCACTGACAATTCCATCTTTTCTCACATGCCAAACCTACCATTCGGTCTATTGTAGTATATTCACCACTCACGCATTCCCAGCGCCGACTCAGCACCATAATCTTCACCCATGGGCCCCATCTTGAGCCCTAAAGTTGGTGACAGTGCGGTTCAGCCTGGCTTTCCACCCACCAGCTGCCTACCAGCTAAGCTAATCACCAAGGTCAACTAAAGCTCAAAGTGAGATGAAACAGCTCACAGAGGAGATATATCTGCAGGGATCCTGGGTCGGATCAGGTCGGCCGAGCAACATGAGGGTGTGAGAAAGTAAAGAGAGAAAAAAACAGCTACATTTAAAGAAGAGTTTATGATATTAAAACTGATCAAATTGTTCTTGTTTTTGAAAACTTAAAGCAATCCTGTGATAAAAAAAATGAATGAATGACAGCCCAAACACAAATAATGACTTGGATAGGAGCTGAAAGACGATAGCAATTAAATGTAAGATAAAAACAAAAGCAATGCCAACAAAAAAGACACTGCTTGCATCAGGGTCATATTAAAAATAAAAATAATAACAGCCACAGTTCTTCCTGGGAAGATGAGCCATATAATAGAGCATACATAACTAGAGTTTTCCAGACTCTTAAACAAATGAGCAATATTTGTACCAACAATCCAGAAGATACATCTCAGTGATGAAAAAAGAGCGAGTGTGTGAATGACTGAGATGTGACCACTTATTATTGCACTAGCTTGTTTGAGGCTAAAATGTAACAACTGGGTCATGTTTTAAATCCATGAAAGACCTGAACTCAGTCACCTGGAAAAAAAAGCAGCCGTAGTGTGTACTTCACTCGGCATCTGCTGTCAGCATAAAGCCAGGTTTGAAGCCGAACATCAAAGCCAGAGGAGCCTCTGAGCTGGAGCACTTGTTATTCTGAGGACGTCTGGCAGCTTATCCACTCACTAGCTTTATCAAATCACCTTGGAAGAATCGCCCTCGAAAATGTAGTGAATGTCTTGGTGTGATTGTGTTTTAACCCCCCGTGTGTGGACGTCTTCTACACCATGGATGCACTGTGTGTAAATGAGCGCCAGTACAGAGGATGTAGATAGAGATACTGCGGGTAACCTTAACCATGTCCTTCAGACGTGGCACGGCATTGTGTCTTTGATTTGTCTGGTCTTTGAATAGGTGACACTTACGGTAATATCCAGCTTGCTTACCATTATCACTTAGATTTGAGAGTTAAATAAAAAAGAATAAAAATAGCAGAAAAGTGTGATCTTTGGTCACCCCAATGGCGAACCCACAAAAGGCACCTCATTCATTTAAGATTTCAACAAGGTGCAATACACTAGTGTTTTGTTTTTCTCTTTCATTTATATAGAATATTTTTAAATATACGATGAGCTGATTTGATCAGTCAGGGTGTTGGTTGTTGTTGGAAATGTTGCCTGCTCTGGCATGCAGTTCTCATATACAGTTTGTAGCTATACCTACGGAAGTAACGTTACTTAAGTCAGAAGTTGTGACAAATAAGCCAATGTTTGGTTTTAAAAAAACTGCGCAAGTGCTGTTACCTATTTGTCACGTTACTTCCATACTAACGTAACGCCAAGTCTATGGTTATTTTGACCTAATTCCCCCTCTTTTCCCCAACCTAACCAATACCTTTGTTGCCTAAACATAACCAGGGTGTTTTCTGTGAAGACCAATGTTTATTTTGAAGACTGTATGCATGTGATGAGCAAATTTGGACATATGTCGTGGGAGATTCTTTGAAGAATACAGATGTAATCAGAAATAACCTTTCGTAAAATAGCATATGAACCAGTGTATGAGGAAAGGATGGCTCTGGTAACTGACATCACAATGATTAGTCAAAGTCAATCATCCTGGATACCACCAACAAACACAGACAAGAATACGTTGCAAGAGAAACGCTGGGAGATGTGGAAGGCAAGAAAAGAAAAAAAGCTCATTATATGGTCGCTAACAATCACAGATAATCTCTAGGAGGTTCAAAGCATCGGGATGGGTTGTAATTTGAATGGTAACGAAATGAGAAGAGCGGGTACAGAATGTGAAACGGAGGCTTTCCGAATGTGCTGCATTGAGGGCTACAGCAAGTCTGAAATAGTGTGTTGAATTGTAAAGAGGTCAATGCACGGAGGCAGTTATTTAGAAAGATTAGCAGGTGTATTCTTGAGGAATGTTGATAAGGAATTTCTGCAGTAAAGTGAGCAAGATTCTTGGCAGGGTTTGGTGCCGCGTGTGAATATGATAATGAATGTAAAACAAAGAGGCACGTAAGGCACTGTGCGCTATTTATGAGAGGGGGTCTATGGAGGAAATTAGTTGGAGAGCTTTGCATTTTTTTCAGTCAGTTTGTCTAATTTTCTAGTCTTTTCAAGGGGGAATATGGTTCAGTACAAGTTTGGATATTTTGTCCTTGTAGACAATTTTGTATTATAGACCTACACATCTGTATTGTTGACAGCCTCCCCGGTGAATTTGGTCCAGCATAGAATGGCTTCCAACTGTGTATTACTAACTAACTGTTTGATATCAAAGTGTGTGCACAGCAGGTAGCATACTATGCTATATAGGCTTATAGTTTTCCATTTTTCATCTGGGAGCTTCTTCATGCCAGTTTACATTTACAAGTTGGGGATACGTTGGTTCTATAAAAAGGAAAGTATTAGCAGTGACAGCAAGGGAATTTGGTGTGGCAAAATGAAACATATTGGCCATTCTTTTTGTCTTATAGCCTATACAAAATGCCTGCAAATCCCTCTTATTATCAATTCATCCACTGGAAATGTTCTTGATTAATTGTTTTGTCTATGAAATGTGCCAAATTCCTCTAATAGTCTCCCAAATTAATGTTGTCCAACTAAGAGTACAAAGCACATGAATATACAGTTTTAAAGAAAAAGTAGAAGATAATGATATTCTAAGGCTCTACTTAACAGTTAAGCAGAAAGAAAGTAAGTTAACGTACAGGCTTAACATGATTTAAATGCCACTTTACATTGTGTAAAACATTAGAGACTCTCTTAATCATCCATAGATTTCCTTTCTTACAAAATGCAACCAGTTCTTACAATCGTAATAGAAAAGGATGCCAGAGTAAGTTGTCCGACGGTGATACTGCAGGTAAACAGACAGGAACAGAATGTTAACAAGTCCGATGTTGAATGTTAAGTGAAGAACGAAGAAGAATGTAAGACAGGAAGGACTAAAGAGAGACCAGTAGGTTTTTACAATGAATGTGAAGTTAAGGATGTCGCAAAGTTCAGAGACAAGTAAGTGCAATGTAGAAAGTAGGATTTTGGTAGCAACACTAGTTCTGCAAGATCTGCTCTTGAATGTTAAAGGTATGGTAGAAAATGGTCATGTTGATGGAAAGCTAGCAAAAGAGAAGCAAAGTGATATTAAGAATTATTTATTGTACTGTATGTTGATGAAAGTCGGAAAGTGTTATGTGAATATATTTATCTTTAAAATCCAACAGAGGTGGTAAAACATAAAAATAAAAATACAGATATAGCCTAGTTTGTGTGCCCACGCATGAGAGATTTAAAGTCCTAATCCCTTTCCTACACACCTCTTTTTAACCACAGCCTACAGTATCTGCGGCCCATTAACTTTCTTTTCAACACTGTGTTGCCTGTGTAGGTGTATACTTACAGTGTGTTTATGAAGTCTGTGTGTCTATGTGTGTGTATGCATCTGGGAATAAGCGTCAGATGAGACAAGACGGAGAGGCAAGGAGAGAAAGAAAGGGCATGAGATTCAAACAATGATCGATAGACTCAATAAACCACAGCAACCCTGCGATGGGTTTGAAAACATTTCCCCAAGGTTCCAGATACAGCGAAATCCATTAGTTCATAATGAACTCAGAGGGTTGTTGTTTGATTACAGGCTGTAAACTCGACAAAGAAGCCCGTTGGACGACAACAGAAATGTTTTTTACACTAGGCCTGACAAACTGTTTACTGAGCATCAGCAGACACTCACTATCCTTTGAGACGCACATCTGCTAAAGGCAGTACCGGCATATATTGACATAAATACAAAAATGATGTCCCTACATTTCCAAAAGGCAATGGAGAACTGGAGGAACATTGAAGCATTTAAATGTTGACATACTGTCTTTGGATGTTCTGAATAGAATACAACAAACAAGGAGCCCCACTTATTTATAACATTTAGTTGGAATAAAGGCAATAATTGATATTAAACTGCAGCCAATCTTTAGCAATGCAGTAGAGATTAAATATTTGTATTATACCGTACAACAACTACCAACATCCAGGAAAACATTCCATCCATAATCCTAGGTGACATTTGATTTGAACAGTATTATAAACCCCAAACAAGGGATTTTAAATCACATTAAATGCAGTATAATAATGTTTTATGGGAGCATAAAATCATGTGTACAACATTCAGGACAAGAAATGTTAAATTAAATTGATATGGTCCTTTAGGTAATTACCCAAACAATCCTCAGAAAAATCGAATTTATAAAACAGGCAGTGCAATTAACTGAAGCTCATCACTGTCCAAGTTCACTCCAATGTTATATTTGCATATGGTATGATTACAGTTATTTGCAGTTGGTACGTCTGTTCTATCCAATACGCAGACCAAAGTGTGTCCCATGCAGTTTGTCAATCTTTAGGGGAAATCTGTGTACAACTGGCTCCCTCTAATGGAGGCAGTTGGATGTAAAGGTAACACTGGTATTGAGGGGCACAAAGAAACACTGCTGGGTTTGTAGGCCAAATTTCAAAACATCAAAAGCAATTACAATTTATGAAGAGGCTCCGTTTTTAATATCATGCTTTAAAGTGTAAACGCACGCATAATGGATTCCTAATGTGGTTATGATGCCTTGTTAGGCTTTATGTGCAATACTTCCAAATACAACAGCTCCTTACACTTTATAGACTCTTCTATTGAATCTTTTATTTGATATCAAAATGTCAAAGGTATCGAGGATATTGATGGCACCAAAAGTATTTGATACTAATGAATTGAACACAGTAAATAAGTAACAATACATTTGTTTGAAAAAAGAAAACCCCAAGTGGGGTTACTAACCATGGATTTCATTTGGACATCATTTGTAGCGACTGAGTCCCCATCAAAAATAAAGATAAATCGGTTGTTAAATTAAAGTACAAAATAGAAGTATGTCATATTGCTAACCGTTCATGTTAAATATTGAAAGAATGAAAAATTGACCAAGTTGATGCTTGGATTTGAAAATTGTTATTAAATAAATATTAAAAGTAATTCCATTTTTTTTAAATTAAAGAGTATTGATCCTGCTGCAGCATAATATTAATCCTTTTTAAGGAATGCTAATGTGAAGGATGTCAAATATTCCCGTTGATCTCTATACAATTTGAAGCAGGCGTCCAGACAACGAAACATGTCAGGGAGACCTAAATGTATGGATTGTTGCCAGTTTACATGTATCTTATGTCAATAATACAAATAGTGTATATCTGATATGTCAGGTCTTTTATTTTCACAAATGTACTTAAATAATCAATGTTGATGATTTGTTTTATTGTCTTTCAGTTTTACCTTGACATGTTTTTAAATCCTCAAAAAAAGGAGGGATTGTTGTTGCTGTCCAAATGTTCCTCCTCTATTTGGTGTGTTTTTGTGTTTGGTCGGCATTGTTGTATCCACACTGATGTGACCCCCGAGTGGACTTAACCCAAACTGAATCCCAACTGTGCGACTGTGGGCTTTACGTTAAAAATGCAATGTGTACACAGAAGGTTAAGCCAACACGTGTCCTGTCACACACAGCCGCAATGACCTTGGTGGTCTCGGAGTAACGGTCACGCAAGTCTTCCAGGAAGTTCCCACAACCTCCCTCTCTCTACTGTTAAGGACTCTTGGTTTAACTCCAATCTTCTTGTCTTCCGGAGAAAAAAAAATGACAATGAATAAAAATATCTATATAAAAAGAACAAAAAAAAAAAGCCATAAATAAAAAATGGGCCACAGAGAGAGGGTCTGAATCCTCAGGCAGCTCCCGAGTGTCAGCAGGGATAAAGACACACGTTGGACTCCTTAGTAAGAGCCAAAGCGAGCAGCAGGAACATACTGGCTTTTTTTTACCATTTCAGGACGCAGACAACAGGAATGAAGACCAGCAATATGCAATGAGAACTACCAGCCTGCACTCAAGGAAGGGAAACAATGTCCACAGGCTACAACAAACTACAATCAGGATTTGCGAGCTCCAAAGGTGTTCAGTGGTCTGCAATAATAACTACTA